TCAGTAGGGCCAAGCACTCAGTAGGTGCTTCATAAATCCTGTGGACCAGTCCAGGGGTCCCCTGGAGGACTTGGGAGCACAGAGCACAGGCTCTGTGAGCACCTATGAGGCATACTGTGTGTGTACCATGAAGCGTGAGAGAAAGGCCATCGTCATCTGTCTTTGGGAAAGGCTCTTTGTTGGTAAGTTTTCCAACAAGTTTGGTGGCAGTTGCCACAGAATTATCATGTCACAGTTGTAGTTAGGGAGCTGAGGGGAGCTGAGATGGAAAGGGATGGTCAAAGCTGTTGTGACTTGATTTGGGAGCTTAAGACACTGGGGGTCTGATTTGCATTTTGCAAAATTCTAACAGATCCTCACATGCCCACCGCACTCCCTGCTTGGGTTTACACATTCATTTCCCCTACAGCACTCCATAAAGAATTTGGGCTAGAGGCCTCCCTTTAGAATCCAGTTGTTATCAGCATTAAGATCTGCATTTCAGAAGACCATGAATTGCTTTCTGTTTTGTAGTTCAGAGCCAAGAGGGGACTTCAGTGTTGAATTTTGTAATAGTCACACCATGGTTGTGTGTACCCCACCCACCTACAGATCTGTCAAATCGAGAGATCAAAGTCACTCAGAGGTCCTGATAGAGATCACCACCTTGCCGCCAGATGGGAAACTGAGGTCCATGGAGGAGATGGACAGGCCCGAGTTACTGGAGGAGTCAACTGTTAACCAGGCAAGTATGGCCACCACGATGTGCTAGGGCGCTGGGGATGCAAATGACAAGTAAAATACTATCTTCTTATTAACTAAGAATCCTGTATGCTCCCACGTCCTATTAAACAAGCCTTGATTTGGATTTAGGTTTGTACCCCTTTGTGTCTTAGGGTAAGAATCCCCCATTAATTGACCACTTATTCTGTGCCGGAGATTACGCTGGGCTTTTTGCAACCATTAGCTTGTTCAAATCTTACCAAACTAGGAGATGAATATTATCACACCCATTCTATAGATGAGAAAATCGAGGCTCGGAGAGGCACAGTATCTTGCCCTGGGTGGCATCGCTGACGAAGTGCAGAGCTGGGATGACAAGCCGTATCTGCCTGTCTTCGAAGCCCTTGTTCTTCATTCTAATCCTTGGTCTCTGGCCAGCCAATCTTTACGTCCTTGGACTAACCCCCTACCGTGGGTATTTCTTGGCCCTGGGTGGGAGCCCAGAAACTCTTCATGCACGAGTCCATTCATGGGGCTCCCAGATCCCAAGAAAATTCTGCAGGAGAAGTTGAGAGTTTCTCTTCCTTAACTTCACTGCCACATGGGCCCCTGAGAGTCAAGAAATATTCAACTGGAGTATCTAGACGGAGACCTTTGGCTGGATAACTCAGCCTGGCACCCATCAGTTGGGACTATATGCTCAGGGGCTTACAAAAACCAACTCTTAAATCCTCACAACACCACCATGATATTGGTTCTACTATTCTCCCTGTATCAAAATTGAGAAACAGAGGTGTGCAGAAAGGTAAGTTACCTTTCCAAGGTTCTGAACCAGCAGAGACAGGACTGGAGGAGCATAGTTCCGTCTGAGTCTTGAATCCAGGCTCCTTACAATTACTTTATTTTATTTATTATTTTTTAAGGAAGCTCTATGCCCAACTTGGGGCTGGAACTCACAACCCTGAGATTAAGAGTCGCATGCTCCACCAACTGAGCTGGCAAGGTGCCCCTCCTTACAATTACTTTATATGCTCAAGAAATGCCTACTGCCTGAAAAGTTGGAAATACTTTTTAGAATCAGTCCTTATGTCCACTTTCCCACTTTGTCAGACTGAGCTAGCCTGGGGCAAGTAGCAACAGGCCAGGTGCGGGGTAGGTATACTGGATGAGCAAGGCAGGCACTCTTCAGGGAAGAGGAGGCCATTCTCTGAAGGGCAGGCTTGGAGGACGCTTGCGTTCCGGGGAGAATGACGCCTGTGGTTAATCCCAGAGGCTGTCCAGTTTGCCTCCCTGCTTGGGTTCTTTGATTCGCAATGGTTTAGCTTATTCCTTTGCGCTCTTCCCTTGGGGTTATGTCACCCAGGTGAACAAAGGCTCTTTTCAAGGACCCTGAAGAAACCAGATTATGTTACGGGTCCTGCAAATTAAAGGCCTGAAGAGGAGGCCTCTTATTTGGGGATAATCACCATTCGCTCTCTGTTTGACGACTTACTTCAAGATAATTAGAGCTTCACTTTCTTTACTTGAAACAACCTTTGCTGTTTTCTCTCGTCCGTGGCCTGCCAGCCCCAGAGCTGACCCTCACGGATGCCGCAGTGAGGCATGTGACATCGGGAAACGCATGCTGGGTACCTACCATTTAGCGAAAGCTGTCAAAGCAAATGCCACGTATACAGCCTTTAAAATTGGGCACAAGGGGTCTAGGTAAGATATACCTTCAGACCTTCGCTAATTTAAATCTCTGATGGACATGTACGTGTTCAGCATCTTTAATCCACGTAGCTCTAGAAAAAGCAAACTAGGCCCTGCCTCGTGGAGATTATGTTGTAGTCTTGGAGACAGAGAAAGGACATGAGGAGTTTGAGTCACCTAGAAATAAAAATAATTTTAGCAATAAAAATATGTTCAGGAAGTACAATCCTAAGAGTTGATTGTTGTTATTCCCGTACAACAGTAAGAGTGATAATAGCAAAATCACCACCATAATAATAGTAATAATCAGGTTTTCTTTTAGTAAGCATTAAATGACGATGCCAGATCTTACTCCTTATTAAACTAGAATGTGCTGTGTAGAATCCTGCTAAAAGGAAGTGGCCAATATCCAGGACCTAGTACTATTTTTGTTAAAGAGATTTGTTCTTTAGTGGTATATGATATGGCTGCAGGAAACGGGAAGGTCTGGGGGATGGGGTCTTCATTAACTGAATTTTCTTGTTTTTGTGTCTGTGTGTGTGTGTGTGTGTGTGTGTGTGTGTGCCAAAGTCACTATTAATAATACAATGATGATTCGTTATCTTTCTAGGCCTTCAGATCACTGTTCCAAGTATTAATGATTATTCAATTCAAGTAAAAATAATATTTATTTCTATGAAGTTGGGGCCCAGGTGAGAAGCAGGTGAAAGAATTCATCTCTATGGATAAGGAGATTTAGGGCATTGGAAGGACGTAGGACATGTACTCACTCCAGATGATTTTGGGAGTGAGGGTTTTTTTTTTTTCTCTTATAATAAATCTCAGTCTTATCTAGACTTCTATTTAATACAATGTTTAGTTATGTGTCCTTTTTATGAGTTTGAGTGAATGAATATGTAGTTGTAGTTGTAGTTTCTCAATGAGGAAAAATCTTTAGAAATTCAATTAGAACTGGACAGGTTCATAATCTTCATGGAGATTTTAATATACTTCTCAGAAATGGAAAGACCAAGAAAGAAGAACCATATGGAGGATTTGGCCAATAGGAACACACGCAACCCCCATCTAACGAACATACACAGAATTTTGCAGTCAACAAACAGAGCATGTCTGTATTTCATGCTCACATGGAATATTTGCAAATATTGAGCAGATATTATGCCTAAAGTAGCTTCAACAAATACTGAAGAATCAATGTCATGGGAATAAACTTCTAACCACAATGCAATAAAACCCAAAACCAAAAGCAAAAAGATATATGGCAACAACATGCATTAATAAATATCAACAAAAGACACTTGTAAATAATTCGTCAAAGAAGAAATTATAATGAACATTACTAACTCCTTATAATGGATAATGAAGGGGTGCCTGGGTCACTCAGTCAGTTAAGTGTCTGCCTTCGGCTCAGGTCATGATCCCAGGGTCCTGGGATCGAGCCCCGCATCGGGCTCCCGGCTCCGCGGGAAGCCTGCCTCTCCCTCTCCCACTCCCCCTGCTTGTGTTCCCTCTGGCTGTGTCTCTCTCTGTCAAAGAAATAAATAAAATCTTTAAAAAAAATAATGGATAATGAAAATATTATCACGGAAATATGTGGACTATAGTTAAAGTGGCATGTAGAGGGAAATTTTCAGCCTTAAAGACAGATATTAGAAAATTGAAAGAGAGACGCCTGGGTGGCTCAGTCGGTTAAGCGTCTGCCTTTGGCTCAGGTCATGATCTCAGGGTCCTGGGATTAAGTCCCTCATTGGGCTCCCTACTCAGCGTGGAGCCTGCTTCTCCCTCTGCCTCTGCCTCTCCCCCCAACTCATGCTCACTCTCTCTCTCTGACAAATAAACAAATAAAATCTTGAAAAAAAAAGAAAAGAAAATTTAGTGAGATAATCTTTCAATTCAAAAGTTAGTGAAACAAAGCCTATTGCTTTATGCCTGAAACACACGTGGAATATATATAATTTTAAATTGACTCAATGGTAGGCAGTCCCACCTATAATAAGCTTACACAAAGAAAGGAGGGCTGAGTCCGAAGTAAAACTAGAATAGTTCTACAAGAAATCAGACCATGCTAATGTTTCAAACAACAACAACAAACCCCAAACAGCTCTCACAGCAGAGGGTGTATCAGTTGGCTATTGCTGCATCACAAATTACTTCAAAATTTAAAACTCAAGAAAAACACAAACATTTATTATCTTCCAGTGTCTGAGGGCCAGGAATCCAGGAGTGCCTTAGCCAGGTGATTCTGGCTCAGATTGGTCTCTCATGGGTTGCATGAAGCCATCAGCTGGGGCTATAACCATTTGAAGACTTGGCTAGAGCTATGGAATCTGCTTTCAAGCACAAGCACACAATTTATTGCTGGCAGTTATGTTCTTCACTGGGTGCTCCTCACTGGCTGTTAGATTCCTTGCCACATGGGCCTCTCCAAAGATGTGTTTACAACATGGCACCTTGCTTCCCCCAGAGAAAATAATTTCAGAGACAGAAAGCCAGTCCCCGAGATGGAAGCCATAGCCTTTTATGACCTAATCTCTGAAGTCACGTGCCTTCACTATCTGCTGTTGGTCACCAAGACCAACCCTGGTACAATGGGAGGTGGAGCTATGCGGGGCGTGAATACCAGGAGTGGGGAACATTAGGGGCCATCTTGGAGGCTACCTACCACAGAAAGAGTCTCAAAACAATGGAATTTATGCTTGGCTGCTAATCCTTACCACAGTGGAGAATAGGTGAGAAAAATCAATTCCAACTGGAGAAAATCATTAGACTTACGTTGGGGATTCAGATGATCTTGAAATTCAAGGCAGGATGGTGGTCTCCGGGTTGGATTTCTTGGCATTTTGATCGGGACTTAGGTGAATTCTCTTGTTTTGCTTTCATTATGAACCTTTAAAAATATGTATTTTCCCCCCAAATAATTTTAGCTCACCAAGCCCCTTAACACATTTTGCCAATCCACTCTCCCCATCATTTTAAAGTTGATGTCTCCTTGGAAAGAAATTTGATTTAAATGTTTTTGATTCCTTTACATGAAAGTATAGAAACTCAAGTTAGCAAGAACTTTTTGATGGCCAACAAATCCTCCGATTTCATGTGAAAGTTGCAAGGCTTATTTTTCCTCAAAAATATGAAATCATGCTCTGCCAAAGAGTCAATAAAATACCGACCCAATGAGGGTTAAGTTTAACCACCCACAAATCAAAACATCTTGCAAACTTTAGGCCAAACAATTTTTTGCTGTTTGTTTTAAAATATCGAATTGACCATCCCACCCTCTCCTCCATGTAACTGAATTGTAAAATCATCTTCTGTCTTGTGCACATGTAGGCATGGACAAAAGGAAAGTGCTGAATTAAGATAAATCAGTTTCTTTAAATACTTCTCAGAGATATGAGCTCTTTGTCTCCAGTTTCTTCTTATTTCAGTCCCTGCTACCCTGGTACTAGTGTTATTTTACTGAGACACGGAGCCAATCTCGTTCATCCCCCCCGCCCCCAGTGGCTTTGTATTGTAACTTTCACCGCCTTCTCGTGGTCTTCAGGTAGATCCTGCCATGCCGTTCATGATCCTCTCTCCAGGGTCCACCTTTTTTCCTAACATCCTCTTTCTCTGTCTCACCCAGGCTGGTTTAACTGCAGTCCGACAAGACAGCTTGCCATTTCCTGAATGTGTCCTGCGTTTTCAGACCCAAAGTCTGTGTATAGGCTGTTCCCTCTGCTCACAATGCTTTTCCCTCACTCACTCCCTTGGAACAATCCCATTTCCTCTGCAAGGCACATTTCAAAAGTCATCTTTATTTCCCCCCTCTGGGGGGTGTTCTCTGGCACACCTCCTCCCTTTACACCCAGCAACTCCTCCAATTTGATGAGAAATTGTTCCAATCTTTTGGTCTCAAGGGGAAGTAAGAGAGTTGCTTATAGAATCCTCCATATTCTACAAAATCTTGTGTACACTGGCATTGTAACACTTTCTTAATTGCACTTCAAACTGTCTAGAGTATTAACTAAGGTAGTGCTAACTGCTCAACAGGTATACCCCATTCTCAGTGGCTTAACACGATAGAAACTTATTTCTCACTCCTATTAATTCCAATCAGCAGCCAGGGCTGGAAAGACAATTTGCTCCATGCAGTCATGTAAGGACCCAGCTGACAGAAGCCCTGCCTTCTGCAACCAATGGCTTCCAGGACCATCCTGGGTATAGACAGCCAGTCAGCAGACAGAGAACTGGTTGTGGTAGAGAAGCAGGTAGGAGATGTTATGGAGAAGGCTTTGAGGTGGCACAAATCTCTTCCATTCAAATTCCATGGGCAGAACTTGGTCACATGGCCTCATCCGGCTGCAAGGGAGAATGAGAACTATAGTCTGCTATGTGCCCAGGAGGCAAACAAAGCAGGTGTAGTGAACAGGTAACCAGTCTCCTTGGTCATTGTCCTCAGTTAATTCTGAATATCTAGAAGGCAGGGGCTGGGTATTCCCTACTGTTGCAGCTTTAACACCTAGCTCAGTGCTTAGCATGTATTTAGACACTTCATAGATATTTGTCAAATATGCAGATGAATGGATGCAACTGTCATTGCTGAAATTACTAGAAAATTTCCTCGCTCCTCCACTCTACCTCTGTGGGGATAGAAATAGTCTTAGGTTCTATCTGTGCAGCTCAAACAAAATGGAGAATTGAATCATTTACCTAGATCATCCAGTCAAAAAGTCCTTCTGACTGTAATAACTGGTTCAAGAGATTTGCCCACCTTCCCCCTAAATAATATGATAATTTGAATTATAGCTTTGATGTCCACTTTCCTTTCATTTGTTTGGGCAGAGTCTTAATAGCAAACATGCCTTTTCCTTATTGAGCAAAATTATTTTTCAACATTTGTCTTGGACAAAGCAACACAATATTCCCTATCCACAAGCAACATGGTAACCGAAGCTCCCATGCCTAAGCTTCCTTGGATTTTCCAATGGCAACTACTTCTGGAGCTTGGTTTTCTTATATAAAAGTAGGAATGGGAGGTAGAAATGGGCAAGAGGTGAGGATAAAATGGGATTGCTTCACTCAACTTTCATTGGTTCAAATGCTAATCTCATCTAAAAAATACCTTCACAACAACATCTCAGTTGGTGTTCGACCAGTTGGTGTTTGACCATGGCATAGCCAAGTGGACACATAAAGTTAACCGTCATGGATCCCCTGTCCTTATGCCCAAACACTCAGCTCCGTGACTCCTCTGCCCGGACACTTTCCCAGTCCCCAGCTGGGCTTGGGGTCTCCTTTGATTTCCCCCAACAAAGCACATGCCAGCAAGTATTTTTGTTGTCTATTTATTCATCTGCTTCTCCCACTAGACTGTGAGCTCCTCAACAGCAAGAATTTCCAATAAATGCCAATTAAAAAGAAACAAAATAGGAATGTCCTGGAAATACATGCAGCATCAGGTATAAAGTTTTGGGATTAAAAAAAAAAGAAAGAAAAAAGAAGGGGCGCCTGGGTGGCTCAGTCGTTAAGCGTCTGCCTTCGGCTCAGGTCATGATCCCAGGGTCCTGGGATCCAGCCCCACATCGGGCTCCCTGCTCAGCGGGAAGCCTGCTTTTCCCTCTCGCATTCCCCCTGCTTGTGTTCCCTCTCTCACTGTCTCTCTCTGTCAAAGAAATAAATAAAATCTTAAAAAAAAAAAAAGAATAAAGAAAGTCCTCCCAAAGTCAGAAAATGAGACCAATTTTATTTCCAAAAGAACCCATCACACAGGCTCTTCTTCCAATGTGCCAGTGTCACTCTTGCCATTGAGGGGTGGAGTCTATGTTCCCTCCCCGTGAAACTCTGTAGGCTTTTGTGACTCTCTCAAAATATGGGGTATGAATGATGTGGCTTTCAAGGCTAGGTATAAAAATGCAGTGCACTTTTGCCTTGTTTTGTGGCGCTTGCTCTTGGAACCTAGCTGCCTTCATGCGAGGAAGTTAGGTGGTCACATAGGCCGGCACCAAACAACTGGACAGAGGAGGGACTAATGAAGTCTTCAGATGATCCCAGCCCCCAGTCTCCAAGTCACTGTGGCCCCTGCTGACACCAGGAGGAACAGAAAAGAGCAGACTCCATTGAGCACTGCCCAAAATGCAGATTGCGAGCACATAAATGACACTTGCTGTCACATATTATTAAGGTTGGGGTAGTTTTGTTACCCAACAATAGGTAAGTGGAACAGAAGGGTCAAAGGGCAAAACTGTAAGGAAGGCAGGAATGCAGGGGGATTCAACAGATGGATGGCCGATCTTGGAAAAAAAATCCCCAGGCTGGACCTCACCTTTCTTTGTAGCCTGGCTTGTTCGATTGCTGCATTCACTGTAACCTTTGTGTCTTTCTTTTATGCCATTAAAGTCTGTTTATTTGCTTTGTAAAAATATGTTTTCATGTTACCTTGAATAGAATCTTGTTTTAATCTAATGGTCCATTAATTTAAAATAAATCCATGGGTGATGATTTCTTTAACCAGAATAGCCACATCTTTCCTCAAGGCGCAACAAATGATAGACAGATAGACAGACACATAAGACAGACTGACAGACAGACTTACATAGAGGTAGAGAGAGCTATACTTCTAAGGGTACTTCACAATATTTGGGAGGATAAAGTTTTAAAGTTGAGGATAGCTTGATCGAGCATCCATTTCCTATATGGCAAGCATCAAAGAGAAGGCTTTATGGGCACCTACTCGTTTATGTCGTCCCCAATATCTTTGCAAGCTGTATACAACTAGATCCCCTTTTACAGATGAGGAAACTGTGGGCCATATTGCCCAGGTGCCACGTCTCAATGGTTAAGCTGGGTGACCCCAGGCGGTGTGATTCCAGACCCATCCTCTTTAACCACTGTCCTCACTACCTCCATCAGAGGCGCTCGCTGTCTGAACATTACCTGGAGCAGACGAGATGTTCAACCAATGCCCCCGACCCTTTCTTTTATAATAACGTCAATCCAGCTCCGACGGACCAAGTCGCAGCAAGCCTGCACGTGATTATCTTCATTTTCTATCCACAGCAGAATTTACACACAGTAGGTACACGCAAGTGTGCGTCAATCTATGCTTCTAGCGAGAGGGCCTTTTGCATTCAAGGACTCCAAGCAAACGTGGAGGCGGGGAGGTCAGTAGGTAGGGAGCCCAGGGTGTCAGAGAAGGGCTTCCTTCATTGATGGTTTTTTGAGAGCTGGCACATCTTGGACACATTAAGAAGTAGCATGAAAACAAATGGCACCCTCACTCAGTCCTCACTTGTGGGGGAGGAGGGGATATGAGGGAAGAACCTTCCCTTTTAAATAGAAAGAGAAATGGCTGAATGAAAGTGCGTGGTGGGCCCCTGAGAAGGGTGCCCCTTCCTGCAGGCTGGAAGGCATTTTTCACCAAGCTCTGGGACAGATGAGGGCCAGCGCTAATGTCAATCCTCCGCCGGCCCCCGGCCCCCTAGTAAAGGCGATATGAAACAGAGGCCTTCAGAGGACCACGCTGAAGCGTATTGCGTGTTCCGGCAACTGTTATAAAGCAGGCCAAAGCCACGTCAGGTCCAATTAGCATCAACGAGGAACATCTGTATTTCGGCACCCACGTTGCTGAATGCAAACATTTCGTAATTACAGCCTCTTGCGCACACGGTGTGTTATGAGATGTGGTGTCCCAGTGTGAATCACAGGCACATTTTTCAGAGTCGTCAGCAGTCTTGGTCTGGCCGGGATGCCG